AGGAGTAAATTGACCTTTTCCACAGAGCCAGCCGTGTTTGACTTAACGCTTTCACGCATATCCTTCCACTTTATTGCGGATGCATTAACACGTAACTAGGTAACATCTGCAACTGCTTGTTTATAGAGTTCCGCGGAAAGAATGGCTGTGTGAGCTAACACGGCAAGGGAACACGCGCGGGGATTTGTGCAAGTAGGTTTTTAAGGGATGGAGCACGAATTTGCAGTATGAAGGGGGGAGAAGGATTATTGGCTGTAATTGTCCAGATAGAGACAGTGTTCCAGTGTGTGCGTGCACCGGCCAGCCAAAGAAGGCTCGGGTTTGGGGAGGGGGGGGGGGGTTAAGGCTGGGTTAGGGGGAGGGAGCTGCATGGATGACTCATACTGTATCTGCTGACACTTTGTGTGGACACAGCATTAGATATAATGATGTTTTCGTGATGAGAAGCGGTTGAGAAAATGTCCCCCCAAAACCATATGTCCCGACATTTATGGCCTCAACCTCAGCTCAGCCACGGTGTAATACTGAGGTGATGTGGTAGCAGTTGAGTTCAGCGCTGACACGTCAAACACACAGAAAGGCCACATAATAAAGTGAGGATTTGTTGGTACACGCACAGGTTGCACGGCTGTGATTAGTTCGTCCTGTAAACTTTTATTCTTCTTAATGCAGGCCTGGCACGAACACTCGAATTATCCCTGACACTTGTTAACGCCCTCTTTACCACCACAACTCCACCATTGTTGTGAGAAGACTGCTGCACGCGCACTCATCCGCGCGCGCGTGCACGCGCACTCCCCAGTCATAACTGAATGACGGCAGGTCGCTATGGAAACTGCGTTACGCTCTAGGCTGCCGAAGGAGAAACAAGAGCGCGAGGACTCGTTTCATTCTTCATTTCAGCACCACGCGCCTCCCGGACAGCGCCCGAATGAACTCGCGCGCAGATTCTGGCAACGCATGCCTTATAAGGGACCCAGCCGCGTCAGCATCGAGTCTAAACGGAGCGGGCAGGGACTTCAAAAGAAAAAACAAAGCCAGTAGAAAACACGAACTCTCCGGACCTGTAGCTCGGTGGATACCCGCTGTTTCATCCCGCTGACAAGTCAGGAGCCTCTCGCTCCCTCAGATGCCTCAGCAACAGGTAAGAACACTCAGCTCTGTGAAGTTTTTTTTTTCTTTTAATCCCGTTTTTAAGTTTTTAATTCTCACGAGTGCTGCCCTTTACCCTGGCAGGCACTTCATTGCGCTTAATTGCCTCCACTTGCCACAGGACTGTGAAACTGTACAAGTGGTGAACTATAACACCCAACAGGTGTTAACTTTTATGGGAAAAATTAATAGCTGTATTTTTATTTCTTATTTATTTCTTTACTTTAGCAATGTACTGGTGAACTCAAGCACTGCATTTAAAAATACGGGCTTTCTTCTCAGTAAATATTGTGTTATAAGCTCAGTAAGTAGCCTACTGAGTTGTCTTCCACTTCAGTATTCATATGTTTATAATATTTCAAGGGGATAAAAGTAAAAATCAAGGACTTGCATGCAAATAACATATATGAATGTATGTATGTATGTGTGTGTGTGTGTGTGTGTGTGTGTGTGTGTCTGTCTGTCTGTCTGTCTATCTATATATAGGTATATATAAAGGACATATATTTAGAGTATTCTAACCACAGGACTAACTCTCCCTCCTGTGTGCTACTTGACAGTTTTTATACCCAAGACATTCACCTGAGTTTACAGAGCCTTATTGTTTGTTTGTACATGTAGCCCAGTGTGTATGAGCTTCTCAGATTTGTTGGGTTTTCAGTGGCTATAGATTATGTGTGAGCTGAGCCGATACGCCTGGATGAGTCACTCAGGCTGCAAGTTTGCAGGAGAGTGAGAAAGGGGGAGGGGGGTTGTGGGGGAAATACAAGGGGCCAGTTGGAAAAACGCTCCTGCAGTGCCTCGTCAACATATTGTGTCGCTGTGCGTGTGATAAGTGTAAACATCTGGAGGTGTTTGTATCAGCTCTGGATGTATGATCATTTTGCGATGTGAAGTTTGCCTGGTTAAAGTGGGACACGTGAGCCGATGTCTCATCCACAAAAGCTATTTAGGAGCTCTGTGCTCTAAGACTCAACTTCTTTTCATCCTGGTAAGCAGTTCTTCAAAAAACAGCAACTTCTGTACTTCTGTAGCTTTATGTACGATCTGCACTTACACTGATTTAGTGTTTGTTGAAATGCATGCAAAGCTTTCTAAGACGCCCCCATTATAGATTTTGTTTGTGGTTGTTACAGACTATAACCCTCTGGTGTCTGACTAAATGATACCAGAAAGCATCCGATTACTGCTCATTATTATCCCACTGTTTAGCCTGCTAGTATTGACAAATCATAGCAATCAGCTGCATTCAGCTGTAGCACTGAGTGACAACTATTGATTAAAGCAAACAATAGATCATAATGGGCTGCTATGAACCACAGTTGCAAACACGAACACGAGCACTCACTCGCCGAAACACTTTGACAGGCGCTCACAATCGCACACTCAGTCACTTAACAGAGACTCTTCAGACTGACTTGGTTAGGCAAATAAAGATATTGTGCAGCTTATTGAAAATATTTTGACTCTTTAGAGATTTATTAATGGAGTCTGGATGCAGAGGCTGAGTGTGTAAGTGCCAGGAGGACTCCACATGTTAAATGCCAAACAGCATAATTAGCTCTTATTTAATTTCTCTTTGTTTCAATTTGGGTTGGAATTTTTTTTTTATACGTTTAACATGCAGTCCCACAAATGGATGGAGTTATTGATTGTAATATGCACGCATCATGTGCTGCACACACGGCCACAAAAACAGATGTGTGTCTTTAATTAGTGACGTTGGTGTGATTAATGCAGTCTGCTGGTGATGACTCATTCAACTTAACCCTTTCTTGTCCGGTGAAAATAATAAACAAAGGTTGCATTTTATTATCTTTTATTATTATCTTATACAAAGGCTAAGTAAATGTTATATTTTGAGTTAAAGGAATTACATTAAATCCTGAGCCAGCAATTAATAGATGGAGTGTAAATAAAGTGACTAATTAACACGTTGTAAGTCATGAGTAGTAAATACTGTAAAGCATTTCAGACTCTTTTTGTAACTCGACCACTTCCCCATAATTTGTTGTGACCTGGGTGAACAGTTGAAGAGTATTTATGCAAAGCACATCTGCGTGGTTTGCTCCATGTGTCAGCTTGTCAACACAGCAGTTACATTAGCATTGTGGAAAAGCTGTCAGCCAAGCTGTGACTTGCAGACAGCAGACTGGCAGAGAGTGTGCATATGAGTGATACTGAGTGTGTGTGTGTGTGTGTGTGTGTGTGTGTGTGTGTGTGTGTGTGTGTGTG